GACTATTCTACCAAATCCATTTATAGATTCAGTGCAATGCCAATCAAAATCCCCATGACATTTTTACAGAATTGGAAAAAGTATCCTAAGATTCACATGGAAGCACAAAAGACCTCAGATAGCCAAAACAACCCTGAGCACTGAGAGCAATGCCGGGGAGATTACTTACCAGATTTCCAGCTGTATTACAGAGCTATAGTCATCAAAACAACATGGTACTGGCACAAAAATAGACCCATAGACCAATGGAACAAAATTGAAGACCCAAATATGAGTACATACAATTTCAGCCACCTGATATTTGACAAAGGGGCCAAGGGCACTCACTGGAGGAAAGACAGCATGTTAAGCCAATGGTGCTGGCAGAACTGGATCTCCACCTGTAGAAGAATGAAACTAAACCCTTATCTTTCACCCTGCACAAAAGGTAACTCCAAATGGACCAAAGACCTTAATATTAAACCTGAAACTTGGAAATTGCTGTAAGAAAACTTGAGTAGCACCCTCCAAGATGTAGGCACAGGAAAGGACTTTCTTTTTTTATATATATTTTATTTTTATTTTTATTTTATGTGTTTGCATGTATTGCCTGCATGTTAGTAAGTGCACCCATGTCGTGCAATGCCAGCAGAGGACAGAAGCAGCTGTCAGATCCCCTGGAACTGGAGTTGCTGACAGCTGTTAGCCGCGATGTGGGTGCTGGGATTTGAACCTGGGTCTTCTGCAAGAACAGGTAGTGTTCTTAACTGATGAGCCATCTCAGTCTCCCTGTAGCCCCAGCTGTCCTGGATTCACTATGGAGACCAGGCTGGCCTTGACCTCACAGAGATCCGCCTGCCTCTGCCTCCCAAGTGCTGGGATTAAAGGCGTGCACCACCATGCCCAGCTACGACAGGTTTAAAAACCAGAATTTATAACGAACTCTAAATACAGAAAACCAAGACACAAAGCAACCCAATTAAAAGGTGGACTAGGAGCTGAACAGAGAATTCTCAAAAGAAGAAGTAAAGATAGCTATGAAACCTCTTAAAAGATGTTCAACATCACTGATAATTAGGGAAATGCAAATTAAAACCACTTTAAGATTTCACCTTACCACAGTCAGACTGGCTAAGATCAAGAAAACAAATGATACCAAATGTTGGAGAGGATGTGGGGAAAGGGGAACACTCAGCCACTGCTGGTGGGGCTGAAACTAGTTCAAACCCTATGGAAAGCAGTGTGGAGAACTCTTAAAAAAACTACAAATGAACCTACGATTTGACCCAGTTAAACCACTCCTTGGCACATACTGAAAGAACTCATCCTACTGCAGAGACAGTTGTACATCTATGTTTGTTGCTGCTCTTTTTACAATAGCTAAGAGATG